ACCACAGAACTAACTTTAATCAAATCCCATATCCAACATCACTTTAATAATTAGATAGCTTTTTGATCTATTAACCAAAACCTATTTAACACACTTTGGCAAGCTGAGTACAATCCAAAACCACATATTTAGCCAACTTGATATACTGATTCACTTCTAGAATTTTCTTAGAAAGAGATTCAAACAATTCCCAAACAATGAAAAGAGAGTAGAATCTATCCAATTTCTAAAAAACCAATTTTTAATGGCAATCTTGTTAACACCAGACCTATAAGCCTTCTTGAGCATTTAAAAAGCTCTACACTAAACTTCTTATAAACTATCTTAATACATGCCTATCCAAATATGAGATCCTGTCCAGTGTTAGAAAACATATATTCACAATGTTCACAGGGAACATAGATTATTAAAAGAAACCAAAATTTAATATTTTATGTTCACATAATGTTTGCATAAATTCTGATTTCAATATTCACATAATGAATAATAAAATTTGATTAACGATGTATAATACTGATACATAGCAGCAGGTTTTCTAGCTTTGATTATATGTTATATTTTTGAGGTCATATAATATGATGCAATTACTTATTTATGAACTATGATTTTATTATCACTAAAGTTCTTAATTAAGTATTACTTCTTTACATACTAAACTAGACAGCAAGTATAAAATTAATTGAAAATAAACTACTGGAGTTCATTTTAGTGTTAATAGAATTCTTTATTTTTCTATTGAATATTACTTTCTACTAGTGGTAAGTATTTATATAACATTTGAAGTTGGCTTTGTCCGCAAAATCTCCAACTTATAAATTTATAATGAATTTGAAAATAATAATTATATAAGTTATATATGAATTAACTTACTTCTTTCAAGAAGTCAAAATTATTTTTCTTAATATTTGCCAAAGTCCTGAGCACAATGATGCTGGTTGGTTCACATGCTCTTTTAAATGATCGATATTTTGTATGTTATCTGATCAAATTGCCACCAAATCCACCTATGCCAATTTCTTTAACATCAGATAATCTATCAAATAGAACTATTCAATTGTATCTTCATATTTCTCAGCTTTAAGTTAAAATTCTCTAATACAATCATCAAAATCTTTATTTCTACTTGTCTATCCTTATGCTATTATATCAGGAATCACAAGTTAGACACCCCGCTGGTTGAGTATTATTTCATTACAATATGTATATTGCCATTTTCATAGTCTCTTTGTAATCATATAATTTTTTGTATCATATTATTTTAAAGTCCATTATAACTTTGAAAATTATACTTACTGACTAAATTAATTCGAATGAAATAGTTTGAAGAATATTAGGTAAACTAATTGTAAATAAGTATTTAGATAAGTATTTGTGAATAAGTAATGTTAATAAATTATCTTTATAATATATGTTGCTAATCAAAAGAGCTAAATTAGATAATTAATAATATACTTAAAAACACGAAGTGCCCTTTTCCTTTGAATAAAACTTATTGAAGACTATGTAAAGATATTGTGAAATTTAAATTTCCCCAATAGTAGTAGTTCATAGACCCTCGCGCATATATTATTTTTAGATTATATATATACTTTAAAAGTCTAACACTAATGCTCAATAAAGTTTTAGCCCCCTTATTATCATGTCGATATCTTTGTTATTTTTTAGCTTTCAAGTTATGCTCTTTTTTTATTACTGAATAATTTCAATTTTTAAGTGAACAAATCCAAGCTAGAAAAAGTTGTACTGCACAAGTTAGTAGTAGTCTAATTAAAACTTTAATACTTTTGTCTTTTTTTTTTTTTTGCAATTATTTTAAACTAATTTTTGATATTTTTTTGTTAAATACAGTATATATTTGACTTAAAGAAATTCACCAAAGACCAAATAAGTTTTAGCCATATAAAACCAGAAAAATCTTTATATCAGAACTAAAATATTAAGATATAAACTTAGAACTTGATTAACAAAGAATGTCAATTTAAATACTATAAAGTATGTACTGTGTGTGTAATATAAATTTGGGTTATGAAATTTTTGAGTCTCAGAAAATAAATAGAATAAATTAGTTTAGTCAATAACAAATTTGCTATATTTAGTATTAAAGCACGTTTATTTATAATAAATATAATATAATTTTTTTTTTGTTAGAAACTTACTATTTTTTTAAAAAAATGGTACGCAAAGGTAAACAAGTTATCCCACCTATTACTACAAATCCATTTACAACTGTAGTACAGAGAAAAAAATGATCACATAGTGTAGATACTGATGATATTACAGATTTTGCAAGTTCTCCTAATAGTAATACTGATAATGAAACACCTCAATTAAAATCACCATATTTATTAAGAGAAAACCTTAAATTCAATTCAACTTGGTTAATTACATATCTCTGGTTACGTATTGAAAAAAAAGAAAATAAAAAACTTATGTTTTGTCAATAGTGCAAAGAAGCCAAATATACAAATATATTCATAATAGGATGTGATAATTTTAAAGAACAATCACTTAAGCGACACCTTAATAATAAAGATCATCAGAAAACCTTGCAAACACAATCAAAAGAACAACTAAATATAGTTGCTAGCTTTTCAAAACAACTTGGAATTGATAAGCTTTGCATTATACGAAATATGATTAATATATATTAGCTAATTCAGCATAATATAGCTACAAACACAATTACAGATCTTTGTAGTCTTATTGATCAACAAATTCAAAATTCACAAGAATTGCATATATCATCAAACATTAATATTTTAAAAAGCCCTTTCGCATTAAAAGATATAGAATTAACAAGAAGTAATTATAGTTCTTATACTAATAATCATGCTGAAAGAGATTTTATTAATGCAATTGGAGAAGTAATTGAACAAAAGATTTGTTATGAGATTCATAATTCATCAGTATGGAGTTTAATGATTGATGAAAGCAATATGGTTACAAGAGAAAAAACTTTAGCTATTGTATCTAAATATATTACTTCTAATATTCTGGTATACTGATTTGTTAGATTAATTGAACTAAAAGATTGTAGTGCTAATGGAATTATAGAAGAATTAAATAAATTTTTTTATACTAAAAATCAACTCTAAGTCATTTTGGTAGCAATGGAGCATCAGTTATGCTAGGTAATTAATATATATTTTTATCTATATGAGTAACTATAAGAAAAAACTTGTAAATATTATTACTATAGTAATTATAGTATTATATATTATATAATATAATAATTACTATAGTGATAATGTTTATAGATTTTCTCTTATAGTCGCTTATATTTTAAGAATTTAAACTAAATTATGTACTTTAAAATTATTAAACTTTATTAAAATAAATAGATCATTGAAATAGTGTAGCAATACAATTAAAAAAGCAAAACCCATTTCTTACAGAACATTATTATATATCTCATCATTTAGCTCTTGCATATGAAGATGCTACTAAAACAATTCCATATATGCATGCTTACAACAAACTTGTTAGAAATCTTTATACTTATTTTAGTCATCTTATGAACGAATGGAAATTTTAAAAATGGTTGAAAAACAATTAGATGATTCTGATTTGCACTTATTACGTATTGTTAAAACATGTTGGCTTTTTTTGTCAAATGTCGTATCAAATTTACATCGTATATTA